AGGACTGATCTGACTAAAGCCATAAATATTAAATGAAATAACATCTACACAAATTAAAGTTTTGTGATTTGATATTTGATGAAATAATATTGTGATCAAATGCTGTTTTACACATATTTCAAGATGATAAATAAATTGAGATATTTGTGCTTCTCTTCTTTAAAATCAAGATATTTGTGTTTCCTTTCTTTAAAATCAAGATATTTGTGCTTCTTAGATAAAAGAAATGAAAATTTTTTTTTTGGGGGGGGGGGTAGAGACGTGTTCACACTAGTTATACTATATGCTTTTTAGTTTGTATTTTCCTGCATACGTTTTTAAATTTATAGTTTTTAATCTGAAAATATGTACAATGAAACTTTGATTATCCATCAATTTCAGAATCTTCATCCAGGCAAAAAGTAGACACTATGCTATTTATGAATAACTGATAAGCAAAATCCATATCTGGTATAGTACATTGTATAGTACAGATAAAAAGCAAGAGTAGACTGGAAGCTTGGTTCCATCATAGCTCTTAAATTTGCTTCCTGTTGTATTTATTTAGTATATAATTTATGATACATTGCATTAGTGCCTTGCATGATGAATGCTTCAAACAAGAAACATCTAGCATAATAAACACAGGGATAAGTAGTGTCCCACTATGTGACTACAAAATGAATTTTGCTACATGTTAAATACAGTCAAAAGTCGTTAATTCGGACACCCATAATTCGGAATGATCTATAATCCGGACCTCAAAGCTAAAAACTTTCTGCGCATGCGCCGCGTTGACACATGCACATAGGCATTTACGCGTGCACGTAAGACCTCTTACTACTGCGCATTTGCGTGTGTGCAAGCGCAGAATACGTTTTCGTGTGCGCGTTTTATGTATAACGGACGGTGTAAGCTAAAATTATCTAATTATCTATTTCAGTTAATGTTGATGATTGCGTTGTTCCCTAATTTTTGAATTGGATCCGGCTTATTATTTTTTGCAGACTGTAAGAGCAATACTATAAAAGTAAACTTGAACTTTCGATTATGTCAAATAGAATTTTTGATTCTGGAGCTCCCAAAGGATCGTACAAAACGAAAGTATGTTTCGATGTCCATCAAACAAAAAAGTGGAATTGCTGCAAAAAATGGATAAAGACATGAAGAATGTGACAGAGAGGTTAGTGAAAACGAAAAAATTTCGATTGACAAGTTAGTATTCTCGGCACAGCAATTAACAGGACTTGAACAGCGGAACTTTGAAAGCGAACAAAAAATTATGTCTGTTTATAGAATTAAAGAGAAAGTATTATCACATAAAACGAAGCAACTTAAACAACTTACATTGAAAGAAATGTTTAATAAAGTAAACAAATAAATATTAAGCTTTTTTTGTAAATTTTGATACCCTTTAGATCATAATTGTTCTTTATTTCATAAATTACGGTTTCATATTTTTTAATTTTAGAATTTCTGCATGCCATCTTACGCGATTTAAACTGAGGATCTATAATCCAGAATCGTCGAAGTTCCGACGAGTCCGGATTAACGACTTTTGACTGTACTATATACTTTTTCTGTTTTAACCAATTATGAATTCCAAAGAATAAGTGTTTGTGCATAAGCAATGAAAATGAGCAGAGGAAGAGCAAGTTAACGTATTCCTTAATATTATTTTACCACTGAAGAATTGAGAGTTGTATCTAACAAGAGCAAAAGAAAGACAAAAGAAAATTTTTCTTATTTGTATGAAGTGAATTTAAAGTATCTATGCTTATTGCAGCTGTCAAGGACCTTCCAGAAAAATGATAATAGATTTAAGCTGTAACCAGATGATGGCATCTCATTCAGATTGAGATGAAGAGATTGCCTGATCTGTTCAATGAGCTATTTCAAGACATCTAAAAGAAGAATAAGAAGCAAATCATTTTGACAATTTCTTGAAACATAGACAGATATAAAAATTCGAAAATTAATGTGCAGGAAAGCCAAGGATAGCTGAATCTTTCATCTGCAATAAGAGAGTGGAAAGACTCAGATTAAAGTGGAAAATAATGTGCATATAAAGGTTTTTTAGTAATTAATAATTCGTAATTTTGTAGCATGTCCTACATTGATAGTGTTTTTAATGCTCTTTGAAACTGTCTATAATGCTTTATTATTTCATGCCAAGATAAGAAATAGATTATGGTTATTCCCAGAGTAAAATAATGTTCCTTGTATAAACAGTTAAAGTTTTTGTAACAAATGCAATCAAAGATGAACTTTCATATGTAATATGAGGCAGTGTCATATTTAAAATAAATCCATAATAATCTCTAGCCACAATATGATAAATATTAAATATCTTTTACTTTTTACCTATGGTAGTGTAATTTTCAATTAAATAAAATATGGTAATTTCTATTTTACTTATTGTGTTAACCAAAAGATAAATAAAAAAGCTCACTAAGTTCAGTCTTACGGAACAAGGCAATTGTTTGTCATTTCAGGTAGTGTTACCTAAACCAACAGGACAGTTAAAATACGTATGATGTTTGTATAGGTGTCTAAAGGCCTATGTAAATTGTCTATTGGGATTAAAATTTTAATTTTTCTTGATGAATTACAGACTAGGAGAAAACAAAATATAAATGTAACTGATTACTGTACTTATCATTTTGAAAATGTTGTCATTTTTGTGTATTTTAATAATGGGCACACTTTGAGAGCAATTTTGATCTGGATCTTGAGTAAAAGCAACTGCTGTATAGCATTATAGACACCATTTACAGCCTGAGGTATTCAATGCAGTTAGAAATGCATAATTTCCATTTCATTGCATCTAATTATTTTTGATGATTCATCAAAATTTTCATTTTCATTCATGAAATAATCTCCTGTTTCTATTACATTTCACATAACTATGCCAAATTTAATAACTTAAATCCTTTATCAGTCTAGCCCTAGCAATATTGTGTTCATTAAGAATAACATTCTAGCTTATAATTTCAAATATTGGAGAAAAAGCAATCTTGCTCTATTTGTACAATATAACCTACATTAAATTATGGTGTTTTGGTGCTTTCTTTTTTCTTTTCAAAAAGATCCACCCAATAAAAGAGGGAAGACCTCTTTTATTGGGTGGATTTAATTTTTCCACTGCATTGCCTGATTGGTTAATGGTTAGAAAAAGGTTAGATAATTAAGTTTCTTTTAACTTACTGTTTTAAAAAAAGGCTTCTTTTTCTGATTGTGTAAAGAACTCTTTGGTTCACGTAAAAAAATTTCAAATTTTATATAGGCACAGGTATAGTCCCACCACACTAACTGTTCTGTCTCACTTTTGAAGAACACCCCAGGAGGGTGATCTGAGTGTCTCCTACCCCACTTCCTCTACTATCAACCTGTCAAAAGGACTTTTGGCTCATCATGTATTTCAAGTGCTTCCTTTGCGCACGGATACTATATGCTTATAAATACCCATACCTTCTCCGAGATTCAAACTCGGTCTATCAGTATGGCAGTCAGCATCGCTAACCACTATAGAGGATGGGTGGCTTAAATTTTATATAAAAAGACCTCTTATTGAGAGCTCAAACATATTGTGTGGCAATTTGAACATGAGACTGACTGCATGAGACAAAATGTAGAGCTGAAATTGAATAACTAATAACTAGAAAAGATACTAAATTTCTTTGGAAGTTATAATCAAAGCCATATTTCTAAGTCATATTTTAAAATAAGAAGTAAGTCTTACTGCCATTTATAATATTGCACTGCCAACCTATATGATTGCTGCCATTGAAAGAGGCAAATTTCCAGAATAATATCATTATAGATAAGATTTATTATTGAAGAACTTGTGTCCTATGAACAATGTCTTACGGCTACAGTTTATTTAAATATTCTAAACTTTCTGTATTAGAAATATTCTATAAAACCGAAATGCTGAGAAGAGTACACCTGGTTTCTCTTTTTATGATTATGTTCCTCGTCTCAAAAGTTGTTCCTGAATAGTTTTTGGCGACAAAACACATTTGCATTTTGTCAATCCCTACTCTGTGAGTGATGTGACTTTATGTAAGATTTTCCTCAACATTTAAATAGTATTATTTGATGATGCTTTCACTACCCAATAAAATGTTATTAACATTTAAACAATATTCCTTTAACTACTCCTAGCAGTGATTGAGTGATTTCACAGCTAAGGTTTAGAGGCTCACAAATTAGGGGAAGTTACTCTGAATAACTCAAGATTGGTAACTTACTACAGTAACTTATTTTATAATAATAATAATCATTATTATTTATTTATTTATTTTTCAATTTCCAATGGCAGATGAACAGTTACAGGAAAAAACAAGAACAAAGAACATAGAATACAGCAACACAATGGGAAGATAAAACAAAAAAACAGCTGTAAAAAAGTCCATTAATCTAACATATCTCTTGCCTCCCATTAACGCTTGGCGAGAAAATTTTTGCGCAAAGTAGGACAGTGGGTTAGATGTGTGGCATCCATCACCTCTCCAGAGCTGCACAGAGTGCATATTGGAGAAGGAACAATTTTGAATCTATGAAGATGATATTGTAGGCAGTTATGTCCGGTGGCAAGGCGGAATTCAGCGACTGCTCTATGCCTTGGGCCATTACACAAATTCGGGATAATTCTTCCAAGATTTATGAGAAACACGATGATAGAGATCTTCCTGAATACGTACTTTGAAAGATCTTTTAATAAGATCCTTAACAATATGGAAAGGCAAAGGACAAGAAATATTCTGAGGCTTTGTAGATAATGTCGACAATCCAATACGTCCTATGATATGGGATTTTTATCTGAAACATATTATAATTATTACTTTTTATTATCTAGCACTTGTTTTTTTCGTTTTGGCACACAGTATGCATAATTTCATTATTCAAAATTTTCAGAGTTGCACTTTTTAAAAATTATGATTTTGTGTTATTACATTTCTTTTGGTATTTTTGTCGTACTGGACAAAATTTGAATAAAATTGTATTTTTTCTCTCAGGTAAACGATTTGCTCTGCAGTGGTATACGCCCAAGTGTGAAGTTCGCCTTTGTGGTCATGCAACAGTAGCTTCAGCTGCAGTTCTTTTTTCTGCATGCAGTAAGTGATATCTTTATTTTTTTCCAATCTGAATAAAAATCTTTGCAAAATTGTAATTTATAGATAAGCCAGTTACTGCAATAATACTCATTATGTTGCTGCATTAATTTAAATTGAATGTAATAGTTTCATAAGAATTAGTACTTTAGTGATTAATGACAAATGATTTGAACAAATGGTTCTAACAGGGATGAGGAAAAGTAGATGGAGCCCAAGTATTTCACCTATGGATTTATGGTATTGTTCCATCGCATTACTGTATTAGCACAACATCCATCACTGGGCACACAGCACTCCGCCTCGAGAACTGACTCAGCTAGGAATCCACCACACAGAGTGCAGCATTCTCACCTTTCTCCTACTGGATGGTCCCTCCATGCTGCCAGTCTCCATCGTGTATTCTGCATTTCTTTATATACATTTCTAACTATTTTATTTTGAAATACTAATTGGTATTTTGGTAGTGGTTTAATGTCTATTTATATTTTGTTGTTCATAGGTACGCTTTTTATTCGTTTCATAGAGAATCCTATTGGATGTATGTATAAATATTCCATTTCATCAGTTTTGTCACATCTCTAGTCTGTCATATGCCAAGAGCTGCATCATTTTCTAGATTTTTAGTCTTGATTACTTCATACTCAGGATATATCTGATATTATCTGGTTTGCATTGCTGCCTGGTATTGGAGTGGTTTTCTTTTATGAATTGACAGCTACATATATAATGCATGGGGTCACCCTTTTCCCATGTATGCATATATCTGTTTCACTTAGATTTTGAGCAAAATAGTATGTGGAAAATTGGCCATGTCCTGTTATGAAGAGATTTATCAAGAAAAATATGTGATCATAGGAGAGAGACTTGAACATTTTATATACTCTTCTTCTTTTTTATGCTTCATTCCATTTGTTTTTCCAGATTTTAAGTATTCTTTTTCTAGAGGAGCTCTTGATATGCGTTCCTGGGAGTAATATTTCTATAGTAGGCAGTGATTCATTTTGTGCCACTTTTTTAGCAAGAAGTGGCACAAAACTGCTTTTTCTGCTAGAAGAAGTATCTGCTTTTTCATTATATGCTTGACCAGCATGGGCTTTTGTCCATTTTATTACTATTTTAATACTGCCAATTTTCAGTGCTAGATCGTGAATCTGTTGTACAATTGGAGATTTATTTCTGTAATCTGCAGTTGCCTAAATTGCTGCATGACTATTATAAAAATGCTAATTAGGTTGATGTTTTGATGTGTTATCCAGATAATTGTTTGTTTCATAGCTAGCTGTCAGCTCGGTTTGGAATATACTGTTATATTCCTGCAGGTGGCCTTTCTAGGTTTCTTCTTCAAGTTCTAAAATCAGAATAACATGGGTATTCACGACTTTCAACAAGATTACTGCTAATTTTCTGCAACTATTACTGCTACAACTGCTAATTTTCTACCCATCTGTATAGGCCATTGGGTTTTCCATTACTGCTTTAATTTCTGCTTTGATATCAGCTTTAGTATTCGAATCTGATGCTGGGTCCTACCATTTATGTTCTTTGGAAATTCATAATGTAATGGATTAATTTCTTGATCATTAATATATCATAGTTTTTTTTTTTTTTTTTTTTTTTTTTTTTACCTGTAGATTTTTCTGAGCCAGCTTTCTCTTCTGCTCAAATGTGCAGTAGGGGAATATCTTTTAGTAAACATAAGGTGGCAGTTGGTGTAGTACAGAACGGTTTTGTTATTTGGAGGAAGAATGATCATTGGATTGAAGCCAGTGTCCTTTATTTGTGTGCATTCTTTGGGTGTGCCCAAATAGCTGCTGTGTAAAGCACCATGTTTTCAATTACTGTATGATAAAGGCTGTTTTGTATTTTTAACTGAAGTTACCACATTGATCCCTGTATTCTGGAAAGGGCTCTTGAAATTTCTTGGAATTATTTTAAGGTGTGGTATCCAGAGAGCTTGGGTTCTGTTAGGAAGCCTAATATATATTTTCCTGAGCTATTTTAATTTTTCTGTTTATTGATGTTTATACAAGAATTGTGTTGCATAGTTTTGCCTGGTTCGGGAATTAAAACAATTTTTGATTTCATTTCTAAGATAAATCATTTTTGTTTATTGTAGAGATCACTGAATTCTGAAAGGGTATCATTACAGTTATGCTTCAGAATACCCCTTGAATGTCCTTTCATAACAAAGGCTACATCGTCTGTAAATGCAATCATCTTCACATGTTCCTTCCATTTACAGAAAGTAATCTTGTTGAATGTAATGTTCCACAGATTTGTGCTAAGGCTAGAACCATGAGGATACTTCTTGATTGTTTTATTTCAATTAGTAAGTTATTATTTATGATGATGCTAGATATATTTTAGAAATAAATTTTGTCTATGGTGGCTCTTTCTAAAACTTTCTCTACTGCAGGAAGTAGGTTAATTGGATGAAAACAACTGGATCTGATGGGTTTCTGTTAAATTTTTTGAATAATATCATTTGCCTTATTTTAATGCATTATGGAAACATAGGATGGTTTAGACATTATTTAAATATTTTGAAAAAAATGTTGGGAACTGCATGATTGACTATTTTTATAATTCTGTTGTGAAATAAACTAGTGAACATCAAACAAAAAAGCACCAACAGCTGTGGTGCTTTCTCATTTGATAAGTTCAAGATTGAGATCTTGAATCTCATACAGTGTTATTTCATAAGTATGTGAGATTTCTGATTGCTTGAAATTTTTGTCGTCTGTTGTGTCTGGGAAAGAAATATTATTTCTAATTACTGTATGTTCTAAAAGATCATCTACTGGAGAATCTGTAAGAAATGCTGCATCGAATATTTTGTTCAGTACAAGAACTGTTACATTTTCAATTGGATTTTCTCCTGAAAGGAGGTCTTATAGAGGGTGACATTAGTTGGTTAATATGTTTTACTTGTGGCCATTTTATAAAGTTGGCCTTAAATCTTATTGCTGTTAGTGCAAAATATTTTCCAGCTTCTCATTTTTGCATTTCTTATCCTTCTTTTTTGGAATGCTAATTGGGCTTTATGCAGGCTGCTTTTTCTGTTCATCTGGAATATTTTTCATTTTACTTCTTAGGACTTTTGTGAGGTTTATAGCCTCTTAAGTTCTTTAGTACAATGCTTCAGGATTTCCATTGCTTTGGTTTTCTTGTCATTAGTTCTTAGCTTGAATGTGTTAAACACTGTCTCTTATATTATTCTTATTATTATTACTCTCTTGCTTTCTCAGTAGAGTCAGCATGTGTACATTAGTCTTGGAGGTATTCTGCATATTTCAATCTCATTTTCCTTTCAAACTGTCTGCTTTTGTTTTTGAGATTACAAATTATTTTTTGTAAGTTTTTGTATCACATCTTCTTCAATTGTAAATGAAATGTATTTGTTATCTCGATAATATAGGATTTTCCAGTTACTGATTTTGTTTGTGATTCAATTTGTAGTTAAAATCAGCTCTGGCCATCCTCTTCAACTGGTTATCTCAAATGTGGGTATATCTGGAATTGTGATATGAATTTATAAGAAGTTTGCTGTGATATTCTGTCCTCTTGGATCTATAACATTATAGTATCATATCTAGTAGTGTGTACTGAAGTCGTCTGTAATGATATGATTCGTGTTGGAAAGCTTTTCAGGATTGTTTCCAGTCTTTGTAGATGTGGATCTACATCTTCTTGTGGGGAGCAGTAGACTGGAAAAAATATTAATTGTTCATTACTACTATTGATGTTGACTACTATTAAATTCTTTATGGCTGAAGATTATTGTAGGAGACCACTTCACATTGGTAATAGCTATTATTGCTTCAGGATTTCCATTTCATCATTGGTAGTGTGCTGGAATATTCACCAAAGTAGAGGCATAAACAAACTTCTCCCTTTACACAATAAGGCTCTGTTGCAGACATAATGTTATGGTAAATGTTTATAGTGAATTTGTCGAGTCCTTCAAAAGCTTTTTTGATTCTTGCTAGATTTACTGTAGAATTTGATATGCTTAGTTTTTGAGCTGTGACTTAGTGTGGTGGAGAGATGCTAGGAGCATTATAGATATACTGGAAATTTGTTAGGAAAGAGTCATTAATTGCTTCTGAAGATATGTGATTTGTTGTGCTTACCTTAAGAAAATATATGGTGTTAAAAGTATTAATATCTGGCATTTGGGAGTTTTGTACTATTGTGGTAGGTGGGAGATTTAGGTGCAATTGAGAAATGATTGTTTCTTCTGGTTAACATTTTTAGTTTAAAAAAAAAAAAATCTGTAATCTGTTCTTTCTTTTAACTTTTTTTCACTTGTCGAAGGTATGCTAAGCAATTTGGTTCATATGAACAGTCTTGGATTTGGGAGGAGGGTAAGCAACCAGATGAGATGATTGGCAAAATATGTGGCTATGAAAGCCCTTCTAATGAATTTACCAGAAGTAGTAAAATTCTTGAAAGAAATTAGATATTTCTTTTGATGCTGAATCGGTATGAGGTAGGACATCTGCTACATGCTGTCACGAATTTTGAATTTACTATCAATTTGACAATTTGGGCTAATTTTCTTTGAGAAATCAATTGAGTAAATATTGGAATTCATAAGAAAGATATTATTCTCATGCGCTGCCTCCCATTAATGGAAGATCTGACTAAAACTTTGCAAAAAATGAGATAAAATCATATGGAATATTTTATAGAAGAATCTAAGATAATAGCCAAAAAACTGAAGTAAAGCCTATTCTGGAAAAAATTTCTTAAACCCAAAAAGCAATTTGGTGAATTTTGCAAGGACAAATCATGGATACATCAGTCCATTTAGCTATTTTCTAAGGAAATAAAGATTGTATTTGATTGAATCTTATCAAATTAAAATGAGGGTTGACAGCACTACTACACTAAATTCAAATTTTGCATTTCTCAATGGTCGGGAAATATTGAGTATGTTGACTGAAGAATGAAGCATATCTTGCACGAAAACATGAGTGAGACCTAAAGACACTCATTATTTGGTTACATCTCTTGCAAAAATCTACACCTGTGACTTGCTAGATGCCTTTTATAATATTTTTATTTCCTTTTACAATATCTGTATTGTACTGTGGATGTACTCTACACTTCCAATCACATCTGCAACCTGTGAGAGAAGTTTTAGCAAATTAAAACTTGTTAAAAAATTTGTGCAATCATTGATGAGCTACGAGCTTTTGTCAAGTCTCATGATTCTGGCAGTTGAAAATCAAACCATACACATCAAGTTAATTATAATGATGCTATAGACTTATTTGCAGAACAAAAGGCTTGCAGTTACTTTGCAATTTTAATTATTGCTACTAATTCCGTAATACTTTAGTGTTGTTAATAGACAGGGTAAGAACTTAAAATAGGGAGTATGTATACTAACCTTTTCCTTTTAGTGAGAGCCTGTGGTCTATATGTAATATCCTTATTGGCCAAGCTGTAAAAGCCACTGAACACTGGTTTAGTTCAGAGGTTTGAATCCCGATAATCATGCCTGCATGGCCGTTTTTGATGTTTTTTCTTTGTATAATGTGGATGCGGTTTCCCTTTAAAAGTTCTTCAAGGGGCATCCTTCTCTTTCCATGTATAACATAATGGTGGAACACATAATAAATAAAAAAATAGCCTCACCAAGAGCTGAGTAGTTAAGACCACTGAATACTGGTAGTTCAACTTGGCTTGTGTTGAAAACTAGGCAATCAGGCTGGTTACATGGTTTGTTTTCATGGATTTTCCCATGTGTAACATGAATACAGTTTCTCTTAAAAATCCTGAAGTGCATCCCTCCATTTAGGCCAATAGCCCTTGTGACTTTGCCATATTCAAATAATCCAATGCCAACTTATACTCAAGGCCTGCCAGTGTGAAAATATTCTTTTGTGTTTTCGGTGGGCTTCCATGAAATTTCTACTGATTGCAAGATGGCGCTTTTCATCTGCTACTCTTTGCGATTTTTACAATGAGCAGAAATGTACCAGAAACAAATATTGTCTTGTTATATGAAAAATTTAAAAATGATTAATCTGTAGTGGTCAGAAATTATACATTTCATTTTAAGAAAATATTTTTATTTAGAAAAGAAAGCATGAAATTTCAAGTTACCCCACTTTTTTTCATATATAAACGCCAGCTACTTTATCCCGATTTTAATTCCTACTTGCATCTAGATAACGCTGTTTTGAATTGTGCTTGTTAGAACTATTTATTCTAATTTAAAGTTGGCCTTACCTGTACCAAAGCACGGTGCTTCTTTCTTCTCGGACTGCCTAATTTCTCGTTAAGAGAATTTTCTCATTCATTTTCTCATTACCATGCCCATTGTGGAATTCATTCATGTGTGTGGGTAAGTACTGCAGTTGCAGTAATGGCCTGCATAAATTACTTAAGTATCAAGGTATCAAGTATAAAGTTGAAAGTATATGAATTTTCCTGACTTACTGAGTTAAAATTAAATTAAAAAAAATAAAAATATACAAGTGTGCTGATTTACAGCAATTTAAAATGTAAAATATATTAGAATTTGTGAAAGTATTTATTTAGCATATATTCTGAAAATATTTAGAGTATTTCTTTATGCGAACACTCAGGTCTAATTAAAATGATATTTAACATCACAAATTTTAGGAAGAATGGTCTAGCATTAATGCTTGCAATAACTGCAGTTATTCTTTCCTCAGTGGACATAATTCTGAATATTTGTATTGTGATTCATAGCTTTTATCTGATCAGGGAAGGCTAGTGGAATCAAGTTTTAGGCTTTGAAGAACCAAGGAATATGTCTCATTTCTGTATGTATCATCCCAAAGAACAAATGTTTAACACATCTTGTGCAGTTATGACAATCTGCAATTATATTTTATATTCATTTGAATTTTTTCATATTCGAGTTGCTAGACAGAAACATGTTTTCATGGCACTATTATTAGCAGAGAGATTCATTATATTTTGAATGCCTTGTGTTTAATATCATTATTTTCTAATTTTTGTGTGATTATGACATGAAATGGTTGCATCTGCAAATTCTATTGGTCACCAGAACATGTCTGTTTCCAAAAGAAGTTCTCACCCCCTGTGTAGTCTATTTACAGTAGTTTAAGTTATGCAGCATTTATTCATTAGTGAACATATTTTACATTATGTTAAATGTCTGTTTAGAAAAGGTAATAAATTTATTATTAACTGCTTTCTGAAATTTTTGAATTTTATAAATTTTATTTTGCAGATAATCATTCTGAAACATTGGAGTTTGAAACTGCATGTGGCATCTTAACTGCTAAAAAGTTACATAATGGAAACATACAAATTAATTTACCAGCATATGAATCAAAAACTTTGGTTAGTTTTTTGTTATTTTGTATTTATTGATCTCTCCTCTTCCCCCAAAAAAGTTAATACAAACTTCTTTTGTCAGTTGAAGTAAAAATAAATTTGATAAAATACTTCTAATATTTTGATACTCTCCATCGATTTAAAAAAATTAAATTTAAATTTTAAAATAATTATATTTAACTGTTTTAATCATTATGTTAGTTGCTCTCGTCAGTTTTAATTATCTGAGAAGAGGCTTAGAAATTAGTAAATTTCAGACTTGTGACCAAAATTTAGGAGAAATTTCTTTCATAATTTTATTGAAAATGTTATTAAAAAGAAAATTATCATATAAGTAGTCATTCAGGATTCTAACACAAATTTATTTATGTATGAATATATATATACATATAAACAAGATAACTATTGTAAATGCCACAAGCTTAAAACTATCAAAGAAGGTACCGAAGCAGATTACCTTGATTTACAGATTTACATTCTCAGCAATATTATTCTATTTGATAAAAGAAGACTTTTAGTTTCAAAATAATTAACCTAACTAATGGGAATTCTGATATCTCAAGAAAAATTATTGCTAACACTATAATTAATCAAACAAACAGAATAAAAAATATTTGTAATAACAGCAATGAGTGAAATTAGGCATTATTGTCAAAGTTCTAACATTGGTTTTAATTTAGATTAATTAGATTGTCTAATAGTTCTCTTTCATTAACAAAATGGGCTTATTTCAGCTTCCAAGTTCCAAGAAAGCCTGCTTGAGTTCTTTAGTCTGTAACATTTGACAACTTCTTTCATTTTCTGCCATTATTGTCCTTTAATTTACCTAAACATGTTTTCTAAATTCCTGTTTGCAATTCTTTAAGTGTACTTACAACTTATTATCCAGGTAATTTCGTGTTTTCCCTTCATTTTTACTTTTACATCTTTTATGTTACAATAATTCAATAATACTTTTCTTCTCTCTCTCTCTCTATTTTTTTTATTCTTT